GATCATTTGCATGATGTTCAAGACGATGTTGGTTATGGTGATGGTGGTGGTGATGATGATGGTCATCATACGCATGATCGTCGTCATCACCATCATGTCAGCATCCGCATGGCGGCCAACTGGCACCTGACGATGTTGTCGATGATGCTAACAGCGGTGGTGATGGTGCTGATGGTGGTGATGTTCGTGATGGTGATATTGATGATGTGACGATGATGATGATGATGGTAAGGATGATGTTGATGATGATGATGATGATGATGATGGTGATGATGATGATGATGATGATGATGATGATGATGATAATCCACGCGTCAAAAAAGGTCAGGCGCTCCCAGATCGTACTGCCCTTCGGACCGATGCGTTTCCCTGTGGCACCCTCGCAGATTCGCCCGAGTGCCGAGAGCAATCAACCGCCTCAGCCGAGGCAGGCGATCGACGGCTCGCAGCACTCAGAACAACTCAGCACGCGCGGCAGCTAGCAAAGCTACGGCTGCAGCAGGCTAGTACGCAGCAAGTTGCACACCGCACCTGAGAAACAACCCCGTCGTGGCAGCAGGCCCGAAGGACTGACGCGGTTGCGGCTCAGGTCAATGGAGGACGATCCCGAGCGTGGGCGGACCTACGCTCCTGGTTCACCCACCACGTCACGACTGACGGGAAGGCGTCGCCGTCGCGCACACGCGCGCCAGCCGCTTCATTGGAACGGGCCACGTGCGAAACCGCGTGGAAGCCGCGCAACGCGCAAGAGCGCGCGCACGGAGCTGCAGGCACCGCAATTGCACCGAACATCGGACGGCCACGCAAGCACGCCAGGGCCCGTCGACGCGTCGCTGCGCTCGCATTGCAGCGAACCGACGGACGGCGCCAAACGCAAGATACTGCCCAAGCGGGGCGGGAGGGAGTGAACCCTGGCGTGTGCCGAGCCCCGCGGGGTACAGCCTACGCCACGGGGTCCCTCCCCCCCGAGGCAGGAGCTCGGCGCAGGCATTCGTGATCCCCCCACCCGCCTGTGACACGAACCAGGAGTGCGCAGAACCCACCAGGGGCTGCGCCTACCCCACAGGGTCCCTTCCCACCCTAGCGGCACCGCACTCGTCGGACCGAAGGGTCCCGAGCCGCAGGGTGCCGGAAGATTGGAATCGGGGCTGGAGGCAGGCCCCGCGAGAAAGAAAAAAAGGGCGAAATCCCTGGCCCTTTACGCGGCCGCTGCCCGGGGCGTCTCGAGTGGGACGCCGAGGAGAGAACTGGCCGCGACGAGGGCCATCCGAGAGGCGGCCGCCGCCTCCAAGAGCTCGCCCGCAGCCAAGAAGCCTCGACCGCTGCTCTCGCCGCACTCGTCCCTAATGGCCTGCATGTGCTGCTCCGTATCTTGGCGGCGCGCAGAGGGGGGTAGGGGGAGGGGGAAGGTTTCTTAGAAGCACCCCTGTTTCTTAGAAGGCGCGGGCCTTCTCTATAGACGTAAGGCCGAGGCCTTCTAAGGGTGCTTCTAAGAAGCCTTCCCCCCTCCCCCTACCCCCTTTTGCGCGCCGCCAAGTATCCGCGGCGCCGCGCGGCGCCGTTGGGCTAGCCGCACTCGGCTCCGAGCGAGGGCCGATATCCACGCGCCCTCCCACGACGAATCCCGACCCCGCCAGCAGCACCTCGTCGTCGAGCTCGTCGCGGCCGACGGCCGTGATCTGGGCGCGCCTACGCGCAAACGGCGTCGGCGACCCGCCTGGGCCCGCTCGCGCCTCCAGCAGGTCCCTGAGGGCGTCCGCGGGGGTGCTGACCCACCGCAGGTACGCAGCGGGATCCTCGAGCGTCTCATCGCCGACGTCGTCGAGGGCGTCGTCGATCCCGTCGTCGAGCTCCTCTCCGTCGACGTCGCTGAAATCGTCGTCGAGCCCGTCCGCTGCATCGCCTCGGTCCTCCACCACCAGGGACGAGCGCGAGCCGTCGTGTGCAGCGTCGGGCCATCCCAGCAGGCCCGCAGGATCAATGACACGCCCAACCGTCACCTCGGTGCTCCAGAGGGGGCGGCCGTAGAGCCCAGGAGCACACCGCCCGCCCTCGCCGAAATCCCCCGCCTCCGCTCGCGTGCCCACGGCCTCGTGCGCCGCGGGCTCCGTCGCGGCCTCGGCGGGCGGGGTCAGCGCCGTCGGCGCTGGCGGCGCACGGCAAGGGGGCTCGCCTGCCTGCACCGAGCCCGCGTCGGCGTGCACGACGTCGCCTGAGACCGCAGGCGAGGGCTGGAGCCCCCTCCAGATGAAGGAGCAGAAGGAGAAGGATGATGATGATGATGATGATGATGATGATGATGATGAGGAGGAGGAGGAGGAGGAGGAGGAGGAGGAGGAGGAGGAGGAGGAGGAGGAGGAGGAGCAGGGGGAGAGGGGGAGGAGGGGGGAGGAGGAGGAGAATGAGGAGGAGAATGAAGAAGAGGAGGAGGAGGAGGAGGAGGAGGAGGGGAGGAAGAGGAGGAGGAGGAGGATCACGCTGATACCCTCCGCAGATGCGG